TCGGCAGGTTTAGAATTATGCATTATATTTTTTTGTCAGTTTTCTGGAGACTAATTTGTTCTATCTATTTCAAAATGAATAATCAAGTTATGTATGAATAATAATAAAAATAAACTTCCGTGAAAAAAAACAAACGCATTTCTCTAGATTCTTTGCAAGAGCTTTGTATCTGTACCGCCCAGGTCTGGTGCATTATAAGATTAAACTGCATTTTTACCACTTAGTTCTTAATTTGCTCACTAGGAAAATTACAGTTTTTTTTTGTTTTTTTAAAGTAACGAGCATTATTTATCCAAGTTTGCTTATTTCTCGTATATACAGTGAAAACTAGTGCGTGTTAACCCAGCTGATAACTATTATTTTTCGATATAAAGGGTGACGCAAAAATCATCCACCACCATGTTATTTCTGAGTCAAGTTTATTTATTTCGGAAACTTTTATCTCTCTCTCTTGTTATCATAATTGGTTGTTGTGTCACTATCGCAACGGTATCACTTCCACACATTACTGCAAAGTTATTGTGTCGTAATAACAACCGTACACGTTTCGAGCAGCCATATGGTGATAGGCTACAATTACATCACTCTATACATATAAGAAAGTTGGCGAATCTAAATCGTTGGAATTCAGTCCTTCAAAGGAACCCTTTTTGAAGGTCATTTGCCATATAGATTTTTTTTTTTATGTTTCAGTATTGTTGATCCAAGTAATCTTACCTGATGCCTGATTTTAAGTGTTTCAGGATGTTTGTGTGATTGCGTATTTCGTTTAGTTCTGATAACGTTCTGACCCTCTCGTCTATTAAGTGCTTATTCTATACAAGCGAGAAAAATATGCACAAATGTCCTGTAAAAAGAAAAAAAATATATATAGAGAGAAACATTACGTCCTACGAAATGGAACTATAAGAGACCTAGCATTAGCTGCACGGGGAATTGATGAGAAATTAATTTAATATTTCATTGGAAAACGTGATTGAATTACCATTGAAGGTTAATATTTTTTCTTCATTATTCGTTGATGTTCATGCTTGGTAAGATGAAACGTAGAGTTTAGGGAATTACTGGGGTTTATGTAGATTGGTAGAGGATTAAAGAAATTGTCATAACATGGAGTATGAAATAAATTGTTGTAAGGAATAAGAATCCTCAAGGAAGAAGAAAGGGAGGATGAAAAACATTTAAACAGTGATTTCACATAAACCCGTTTAATAAAGTGAGAGAAAAAATAACACGTTTATGGGCAAAAGCCTTCTCATATTCACTCTTCTGTTGCCGTGTTTTATTGTTTTATTCAGAAAGTAAAGGAGGGGGGATATATTAAAAGTTGGTACCAAAACATTATTTGTTTTTAAAATGTTCACAATTTTAAACCAGCCTGAAATTGTAACATTGGTTGTTTATTAATTGTTGCAGAAAAGTATAATGATTTTAAAAGAAAACCGTTTTTAGTAATGTGTGTGTGTCTTATTTTCGAAAGGGCAAAAAAAATGATAGTGTGAGAATAATCAGGTTTATGTAAAAGTGAGAAAAGAGCGTTTCCAAATTTAATTTTGCAGCAAGAAATAAAGTTTGTTTCTCTACGTTTGCCCTCCCCCTCCCCCAAGAGTGCATCATCTCTACTAGGACGCAAATTTCCCATCCGCAAGTGATCTAATTTCATAAGTGGTGATTTTCACATGATGGGTTAAAATTAAAGAAACCATCTCATTAGAAGTTGTAGTATACTTCACACGTAAGGACCGCGTGGCCGCAGGAGACGATGGTTTCATCCAGATTCATTCTATCAGCAATGTTATGCTCGTGTAGTAGACGTTCTGAATCCAGCCCCAATCATATTATTTGTTAATACACACATACACAGACACTCTACAAACTTATAAAAAAAAAATCAGGCTAATTACAAATTTATTTCCTTTTCACGACTTAAATTCCAACGTTCAGTACAACAACCAACCAAATCTAATCAAATAAACCAAAACTTGAAAAACGTAGTACAGCATGTGTGGTATTTAAGAAACACGGTGATTTTAAGCTATGAAATTATATACGAATTTCACAGTTGGATCGAGGCTCGTATCTGTCTAGCAAGTACAATTTTAACAGTTTAATGTATGCATGTATATCTTACGAAAAAGAGTGATTAACATTGGACACTTTTAACTATAACCATGAGAGGATTACAAATCTATCATCAGTCTTTAATTAATGACAGTCAAAACGCACGTACGATGAACAGAAGAAATAAAAAACCTAGTAATCTGGGCGCTTCCTTCATCAGACAGTCAAAACGTATGTAAGATCAATAGAAATAAACAACAACAAAAAAATATATAAAAAAGACACCCAATAATCTGGGCGCTTTCCTTCATCAAACAGTCAAAACGCATGTAAGATCAATAGAAATAAACAACAACAAAAAATATATAAAAAGACACCCAATAACCTGGGCGCTTTCCGTCATCAGACAGCCAAAACGCGCGTACGATCAACAGAAATAATAAAAAAGAAACTTAATAACCTGGGCGCTTTCCTTCATCAGACAGTCAAAACGCACGTACGATTAACAGAAGAAATAAAAAACCTAGTAATCTGGGCGCTTCCTTCATCAGACAGTCAAAACGTATGTAAGATCAACAGAAATAAACAACAACAAAAAAGATAAAACACAACCAATAACCTGGGCGCTTTCCTTCATCAGACAGCCAAAACGCGCGTACAATCAACAGAAATAAAAAAAGAAACTCAGTAACCTGGGCGCTTTACTTCATAAGACAGCCAAAACGTATGTACGATCAACAGAAATAAACAACAACAACAAATGACAGAGAAACCCAATAACCTGGGCATTTTCCTTCATCAGAGGTAAATGAACAGTGTAAACGCACTGGTCATTGCGTATGTGTTATTTGTGTGTTTGACGTGAAAATGGCGAGAAACAAAGAGTTTAGAACTAAAAACGGCTTACAGGAATAAGTGTTTGTGCAAGAAGTAACGTCCAGATCAATTTGAAGATTTATCAACAAAAGCGCTTAATGATACAGGAACCTGGAATAGTGAAATATTAATAGCAAATTTAAGAAATTAAATCCAATAATAATAATACATATATAAATGAGGACATAACAGGTAGTAAATAAAAATTATAATCCTGAGGTAAAATTTCTTACAATTAAGTGAAAACATTATTAATGCACAACGAAATTCGTTTCAAAACTGAATTTTATAAGATTTTCTCGAAAGGTTTGAGTTAAATGACTAAGATCACTATCACCGGGTTCAAAGATCATACTGTATCGGATGACAGTGTTTAAATTACTGATCCATTAGGCATCTTTTATTTCCCTGTCAGCTTTTGATTTGAGTTAAAGGACTAGGATCACTATCACCAGGTTCAAAGATCATACTGTATCGGGTGACAGTGTTTAAACTACTGATCCATTAGGCCTCTTTATTTCCCTGTCTGCTTTTGATTTGAGTAAAGGACTAGGATCACTATCACCGGGTTCAAAGCTCATACTGTATCGGGGTGACAGTGTTTAAACTACTGATCCATTAGGCATCTTTTATTTCCCTGTCTGCTTTTGATTTGAGTAAAGGACTAGGATCACTATCACCGGGTTCAAAGCTCATACTGTATCGGGTGACAGTGTTTAAACTACTGATCCATTAGGCCTCTTGACTAACTGCCTTCCATCTAGTCTTATCGGTTCAAAATTAGGGACGAGTAGCGCAGGTAGCCCTCGAGTAGTTTTCTTAGAAACTCAAATAATCAAATGTTCTGGTTGTTTTTCATGTTGGTCAACGAAAGTATTTAGTGTTTTTATATAAATTTATATTATAATTATATAAATTTACAAATGTAACATCGAACTTTATTACACGATGGATAGCCATTCTATGATGCGGTATAATTAGTTGTTGCGTGAAAAAGATATCTCAGTTGCTGTTGTTGTTGTTTTTTGGAATGAAACAACAGGAATTTCAGGGAAGATTTGCTTCAGACATTCACTGATCTGTAGAAGATGGAAATGTTTTTCGGGATTCCTGAAGCATGTTTAAGCTTTGGATAATATTGATAACCAAAGGAACTTTGTTAGGTTGCTTGGGGTCAGACTAGTTGAGAGCAACAGCACGTGGAATTTTGTCAGCTTTTCAATTTGTTCCATTTCAGAAATTTTATAATCTCTCTCTTTTATGAATATTTTTAGCGTCTCTGAATGCATTTTGTAATCATTACAGTTAGTACAGGTCTTTTTTACCGTAGTGTTTGAAAAACTTAATGTGTAAGTTTTAAGTTGTGATAAGAGATCAAAGCGTTATTTTTTTATAAATGTCGAAATATTTCGTTTTCTGACATTTTAACGCCATCTGATGGTTGATAATCAACGGATCTCGTAATAGTATGAGAATTAGTCAATTGTAAAACTCTAAACTAAATTTGAGAACGTATTTTGGGTTATAATTTTCCTTTAAAGAAATTAACACTGGACGAGACTACGCCACAAACACCATAGTAGTGACCGGCATGGCCAGGTGGCTAGGACGCTCGACTCGCAATCTGCGGGTCGCGGGTTCGCATCCCCGTCCCACCAAACATGCTCGCCCTTTCAGCCGTGGGGGCGTTATAATGTGACGGACAATCCCACTATTCGTTGGTAAAAGAGTAGCCCAAGAGTTGGCGGTGGGTGGTGATGACTAGCTGCCTTCCCTCTAGTCTTACACTGCTAAATTAGGGACGGCTAGCGCAGATAGCCCTCGTGTAGCTTTGCGCGAAATTCAAAACAAATAAACAAACACCATAGTAAAAACTCGTTGTTTTACAGTATTTATACGTTTAAAACATCTCATTTGTTTTTTAGTTTCTGAATAATAAAAACTACAGATTGTATATTCCAAATGCAGTAGTTAGGTATTTTGTTTAGTAGTTTTCTAGGACCGCTTTATATATTTTCAAACAGCAGAGATTTTAACTGATTTTGTATATTTTTTGCCTATAGGTGTCGTGATATTAAATACATGAACAACTTACCTCAAGCGAGCGTTATTGTGTGTTTTCACAATGAAGCGTGGAGCGTCCTCTTGCGGACAGTTCACAGTATCCTGGACAGATCACCTCCTGAGTTAATTAAAGAAGTGATCCTGGTGGACGATTTTTCCGACCAACGTAAGTTAGCATGGTTTTAATAAGTACTTATAAGTAATCTAAAAGTTAAAGGTTAGAAAATTAATTTAGATGCATAAAACGATATATACCAACACTTTCAAATATACTGTTGCCTATATGCTCGTTTGTTAATTTCGGTATAAATTCTTTCCGAGGAACATAAGCGATAAAAGTTCTTTCTTAAATAAAACTAGTTTATTCTTTCTCGATACAACTTTGTAATACACAGAATTTCCAATCAGTACGATAAACTTAACTTCTTTTATAACAAACGTTATGAATTAAAGTGATTCACACACTTTACTTACGGTGCCCACTGTTCGCTTGACTCAATTATCTATCTCTTCAATCTATCTAATTCCGCAATCTATTTATCTCTGCAATTGCGCTGGTTTTTCTCGCCAGACTTATATACCAAAAAAGAGGGCACCTCGAACAAACTCGGGCCTCCCCGATAATTCATGATCCTTCTAGAAACTCCAGCGCGCATGCTCCCAGTGTCGCGTGACTTCCGCTGTCGTAACAATACCTTTTATATAATTTATTTTTGCCAATTTTTAGTCATTAAATAAGTTTACACCCCATCATTGTTGACTACATAAATTTAAGACTAACGTTGTTCATAAATCTTTAAAGAACTTATATTACCATTGCTAGTAACAGATTGTGCTTTCTCTCGTTCATATGAGGCATGATATAGAGTACTGAATTTCAGTGAAATATTGACAGAAAAGTAGATGTTTGTGCACATGTCACGTGATTGCACTCGTTAGGGTAAATGTGATTAATTAGTTTAGAAAAAACTACTTTTATACTCAAGATATATATATATATTTTTTTTTATTTGTATTTTAACCAACGTTTCGCCTTTGCGGCTTCATCAGGGTTAATACACACAACTGTTTGATATCAAACAGTTCTGTATATTAACTCTGATGACGCCGCAAAGGCGAAACATTGGTTAAAAAATTATTCATATATTCATGTCTGGAGTATAATTTACTTGTTTCTAAATTTTTATCAAAATGTGTAAAACTCTCCAGTATACACTACAAATTGTGATTAATCAGCACAGGTGTTTACGGGCAGTATATCAATTAACCTATTTAAATTTACGAAGTAATTGATAACGCTTTGGCCCAATGAAACTTGGGGGGGGGGCACAACGATTGGACTCTAGCAATAGGGGACAACAGTTAATCAACGGAAAGTTTAAAGAATGATGTTGTGTTAGATCTTATCATAAAAAGTTCATAAAAGTTAATTGTTGGATTAAAAAAAGTATGGGTTACCGTCTCCCGTGAATTATTTTGATTGAGTACTGCGACTTCACTCGATCAGATCACAAGGTGAGACTTTTTGTTCAGTGGTTTCAGTTAGTTTTGTAGTTAGGGGCTTCATTTGACTGTGTAGTCGTGCTTAAATTCTTAAGCTCCTTTAAAAAAATGTTTACCTTTGCTTCGTGGCACATGTCAATTAGGAAAGATAATATATATCGTATATTTTTAGTATGATATAGAATACAAAGCCCTCTAAGCTTGAGAAATATTGTCAGTGTACAGTGCCTTTTTTAATATGATAAACAGTCTTTTTCCCACCGTTTTTGCTAAATCAATTCGTGTGGTACAATAAACAGAGACAATAAAACATTTCGCCTTTCTTGCTTAGGTACAATAAACAGAAACAATAAAGCATTTCGCCTTTCTTGCTTAGGTACAATAAACAGAAACAATAAAACATTTCGCCTTTCTTGCTTAGGTACAATAAACAGAAACAATAAAGCATTTCGCCTTTCTTACTTAAGCTGTGAATTTCTCAACTTGTTATATAGTTTATGTAATATACATGCAATGTCATTAAGTCACGAGTCCAGGCTTCGGTTCCGAGTAATGTGTCAAGACGTTTTATTTAATTTATCAAGGCGCCTTAACGTCTTATCGAAGTTAATATTGCAAGTGCGTCTTTAACTCCTTTTTACGTGTCTCTATTTAATTCGTAAGTAGTAAAGCTCCTGAAAATATAGTCGGTAGAATTATTTAGAATATGATTCACGTTAAAAGAGCTATGTAATACGATGTATTAAAGTCGTGTTTTCTCTGCCATAAAATGTACTTCCTCTATACAATTTCATTTCTCTGATACTTGTATCGAATCTCCTTCTGCAGAGAAAGTAGTTACGAAACTGAGTTGGTTATTCAAACGCGGAAGTATATTTTTAGTACAAAATTTCAGATTGCTTAAATTGACCATTATATATGTTGTTTACTTAGAGAAAACGCTTTTAACATAATACAGTTGTATTAGTTCTACGTTCAATTCGTAGTGGTTAAACGTGAAATACGAACTTATATTTAAATAAAGTGTTCTAGTTGTTCTGTTTAACTGTTGTGTATGTTTGTTTGGAGAAAAAATACTAATAATGGTTTATACTAATAAATATATATATATTTCATATTCACCTTAGTAGAACCTATATCTAAGCCTGACTAAAATCTGTTTTAATAATTGATGTAATGTAAATTTTCATTGGTTTTTGAAAAAAAAAGCTAGATTGGGAGTTAATGGGCAGGGCTATCTTAGGAAACACATGGCCAAAATTTCTCTCCTTTTTTTAGTAATATCCCCGCGGAATATTTTGGTGTTAAATAAATAATTTGGCTTTATTTAAAATCTTAAAACCAATTCTGATGTTTAATTACTTTTATCAAATGTATAGCAATTACAGTTCGCCAACTTATTCAGTTCACGTCAAAACAGTTCAAATAATTAATAATATAAATAGTGTCTCGTCCCCTATTATGTCTGTCGTAATAACTAATAATATAAATAGTCTCGTCTCCTATTATGTCTGTCGTAGTAATTAATAATAAAAATAGTGTCTCGTCCTCTATTATGTATGTCGTAGTAATTAATAATATAAATAGTGTATTGTCCTCTATTATGTATGTCGTAATAACTAATAATATAAATAGTCTCGTCTCCTATTATGTTTGTCGTAGTAATTAATAATAAAAATAGTGTCTCGTCCTCTATTATGTCTGTCGTAGTAATTAATAACATAAATAGTGTCTCGTCTCCTATTATGTCTGTCGTAGTAATTAATAATAAAAATAGTGTATTGTCCTCTATTATGTATGTCGTAGTAATTAATAATATAAATAGTGTATCGTCCTCTATTATGTCTGTCGTATTCCGACCGGCCCGATGAACCCTGGTGTTTAGCGAAAGGCCTCGTCGACACTGGGTGTTTAGCATGTATTATTACATTCTTCTTTATTTTCATAAGTTCTCACAAGTAACCGATTGGTAAATAACACAACGAAATAATTTGTTATTTATTTTCATTTTGTAGTGCGTATGAGACTAATCTGAAGAAACTGTCAACAGTTGATTAAACAAAACAAAAAACGTTAGTCTGAATATGAAGTATGTTGTGGTCGGGTCGACACTCCGTGGCAGTTACGTTTGACACCCGCTTAGGCTTGTTAATGTATTCAATCCAAATTGTCTTTTCAAGCGTTTAAAGTAAAGCCTTTGTTAAACATATATATATAGTTTAAGAAATTTGAATATATTAGATACTTGGCTATATTCTTATATCACCCGCTTCGAAATTCGCCAAGTCGATTGTACACTTAATTAAAAATATTTTAAAACCTCTGCTAATTTTATCATACATAAACCGCTATCTTTCTGACGTTAGAAGTTCTTATTGTGAGTTTCTTTGCAGTTTGAGAAGACTTTAAAATAATATGGATAATGGATTATTAGTTTTACGATTAGTTAATAACATTCTTATGGATGCGCTTCTATTGCTCTAAATAATTGGTATTTGGTTGTAACTCTTCCAACATAAGTAAAATTGAAAAGTAATAAATTAACTACCAGGAAATTGTTATTTCGGAAAAATGGGGGGAGTCTGTATGTAAGAACTTAAAACCACGAATTGTAACTCTTCCAACATAAGTAAAATTGAAAAGTAATAAATTAACTACCAGGAAATTGTTATTTCGGAGAAATGGGGGAGTCTGTATGTAAGAACTTAAAACCACGAATTGTAACTCTTCCAACATAAGTAAAATTGAAAAGTAATAAATTAACTACCAGGAAATTGTTATTTCGGAAAAATGGGGGAGTCTGTATGTAAGAACTTAAAACCACGAATTGTAACTCTTCCAACATAAGTAAAATTGGAAAGTAATAAATTAACTACCAGGAAATTGTTATTTCGGAAAAATGGGGAGAGTCT